TTAACGCAAATAACTGTACCCTAGACTTACATAATTCAACATGCTGCACGTTCACGCATAGTTAGTTGAAAATTGACGAAAGTTCGCGTTTAGCCGACGTGTCATCCTAGAAGATGACCAGGGAACAGGCTCGATAGCGGAGACGTAATTTGCGAGACTAATCGAATGGCAGCGTGACGAGCAGCAGCAGCAGCTTAGCTGGTGCATCGCGATACAACGCGCGATGATGTAATATACAACCGATGGAAGACAAGGTCTCCTTCGCATAATACGATGCCTTACGTAACACTAGCTTGGGTTTTGTCGGCTCTCAATGAAAACAGCCGAGAAACTTGGATGCTACGTAGCACGTTTTGTGCTTAAAGGTGTGACACTATACTCGCACAATATATTACGCGCGACTGCGACACACATTGCGAATGTACGCTAATAACCGAGACACGCCGTCAAAATTGTAAATTGAACGCGTAGTCTTTCCTTCTTTTTCCAATGTGAAGAAATACTTGTACGGGCATTATGACGTGATCCTAAAGAGATGATCCTAATGCTACGCTAGGTGTACCGAAATTTTAACAGATACCTGTAGATGTTTCCATGCGAACTTAAGGAAATTACACGGGGAACATAGGAACATCTTGGAGCGAGTCTGGAAGCGTGTTAAGGAAGTTCTAAGGAATTTAAAATGCCAGCGATTTAAAGACATAAAGACAATCGCACAAGTTTTAATTTCGGTGTTGACGCGCAACGGTCCTCTCGTATTTATCCAAAAAACAATTTGAAAAACTCGGAAACATAAAAAAAGAAAAACTGAAGAGCAATTTCGGTCGTATCGAGGGAGCACTTGCCAATGAACGAGTGGATTGGTTTTAAACTTTTACCGGTAGAAACAGAGCGTGCGCTGCAATTGCCAACTCTGAATGCGCGGATTGCAGCTTCTATCCACGCTATCGCTTAAATAGTTAATTACCATGCAAATTGTGCCCTTTAGTCGCTTCAACTTCGTTTCAGTTGGTAACGACTTCTAGAAAGTTCGACATGCTAGATTTCTCGGAACGAAATCGTCGACGAACTTGAATTTATTCAACAGTTGGCGAAAAAATTGTTGCAACAAGGATAAGCTTTTTTGCATACGCGCAATGTCGTAAATGGCGATTTGTCGCTGGAAGGTCGTCGCTTAATCGCGTTGCCGATAAATATTTATCGACAACGAACGTGAGATCTATGCGAAAAGGGCACGATAAACGCGCCTGATCGCGTGTTCTTTGATTTTCGTGATCGCCGAAATTTCAGCTATTTGCCTTGCTCTTCTCGACGAATAATAAATACTAGCAAAACTAACAAGAATAAATTTATCAAATATGTATACGCGCACATACGAGTGTCTTTAAATTACTTGAACAAACAAGAAACCATCGATTCCATGCACGGATATAAAGACAGCAATTTTATTCCCTAAAAAGGACAGATATGGTCGGACACATCTATAGTAGACGATAGATCAACGACTAAGAATGAAAGTCAAATTGCTACTGTATCAACGAGACGTCTTTTAAAGGTTAATCGTATTTGCTTCGAACGTGTCCAGTTCGAGATCTTGTTTGTAATTTTTTGAAAGATCTGCACGCCACGCGTGTCTTCGAAACGACGCGACAAATGAATTATTTCAGTGGTAATCTCGTCGTGCTAGGTACGCGCGTAGCAGTTTAATTAGCCTTTCAGCACGATAGTTGGAAACGAGTTTACAGATAAATATTTATCGCGAATAATTCTTTCGTTCTTGAGATCATCCTTCGACGTGTATCGTCGGTTACGAACGTGCTGTTGAACCAGTTTATGCATACAATTTTGCTTCTACTTTTACTTTTTCTCCAAGATTTATGCACTTTTCGTTTCGTTTTTCTCTTCCTTCCGAACAATTCGCGGCATACGTTTGACTTTCAGCTAAGTTTCAGCAACTTTATTTGGAGCTCTGGTGCAAGCTTTCTTGTTCAATGACACTATTACACATTACACCCAAAATGGAAATACAATGAGTTTTTAATAACAAAGCGTATCATTTTGGATAGTACACTAAACTGCGCGCACAATTTCGGTTTTCAAAATCGTGTGTAATTATATCTTAGCTCTGGGTAAATATGAAGCTACATCCGTCTTTTGAAAGTTAACGAAGCAATTACTAAAACTCAGAAAAATTCTCAGGAACTTTGCAGCGTAATAAATACAAAACAGTTGGTTCATAAATCTATTAGCAGATCCAACAGAAATGATTCTTCTTTTCCACGGTACACTCGCGTGCAAATGCACATTCGAAAGCGTATAAATCGGAAAAATACAACTAGGAAAAATGAACGAGCGGCGAGTTTAGGAATGGATCTACGGTATTAATCCATTTATTCGTTTAAAGCAATACGGACAGAGTTTAAAATGGACGGCAAAGGTCAGATCTGGCTACAAGGGAGATAGTTGTTTGGTAGTTGCATGCACGTACGCGTTACCATAGCAGATCGATCTAACGGGCTATTACGAGTTTCGTGCAAGACCGTTTTCCAAGCGACGTCGTGGCGTGTAAGCCACACCCTGGTACAGTTACACCGCATCGCCGTAGAATAAGAATACAAATAAGAATAAGAATAAGAATGAGCGTGTTGGTTAGAGACACGAGTCGGTCTGCACGAAGGTTCGCCGCGAGCTACATTCGTAAATTTACGCACGCCAACGCGATAAGCACCGGTTCGTCCGGTAATCTCGACGAATCGATCAATTTATTTCGCCGTTAATCGGAATCAAAGGAATCGCCATGATCGCGGACGCGTTTCTCCGGCTCTGCAATTACGGTATCACTGTTCTTCGTGCGCTTTCTGATACGGTTCAATTAATTCAGCAATTTATGAGCGGACCACACATCTTTGTACGCGAGGGAAATGAAATTGCAGTTATAGCGTAGATAACGATTAAGTAACGAGGGTTTTAAATACAGGTTAAACTGTTACAAACTCGATACGTGCTTCTGCTGATTCGGTAAGATATTCGATCCTTTAAGTACTTGCAAATTATAGAACATACCAATTATTCCCTTAACACGTTTACATTTTATAAACGTAGCTCGCCATACGAGAAAAATTGTAATTACAGTAGTAGAAAATAACAGTGGTTGACATTGTAAGACTCGAATCTTAAAAAGACTCTAAAGTAATACGATCTTTTTAAACGATTAGGATCGTTAAATTAGTAATTAGAACGTATATAAATAACGGATAGAGCGTTATTCTTACTCGCGAAGGAAAGGTTGATTAACCTGAGTTAGACAGCTGCAATTAACTCTGAAAGTCGGAAAATTACTTCTGAACACTCGTGAGAATCGATCCAGTTTCGATATACACTCGGTAACGATCTCCTTTAATTGCTAACGTTTTCATAAAACCACGTTAACGCTTAAAAAAACAATAATCATCGTGTTCGCTAGTTATCGTAAACTGAGGTGCAACGAAAACTTCCTTAAGCTTCTTATCGTTTGCTTTCGAATTTAGTCGAACTTGGGAAAAACTAAATGAAAACAAGAAATGATCGATATTACACTGTCAATATCTCATGGTTCTCGATAAACATTGAATATTTATTGTCGACAAATACTGAAATACTGTCGATACTGAAATATTAAAAACCCCGGAATATTGACAATATACGTATCGCGAATTGATCGGTCGGAGTGGTCACAACGTAGCACAAAGACGAAAGAAAAAAATTGTACCTGAAAGAACCTTTCTATTTCTTTTAACAGCTAGTCTCTTAATAACGTTTTTAAAAACTTCCAACTCTCGCCCGAGAACCTTGTCGGAGGCTTTCGAAATACGCGTAACGAAACTCGATAGAAAACGAGGATGATAGAAAAAAAGAAAACAGGTTGAGCTCGAAGCTCGCTATACGGGTGATAATAACGAGCGCGTTGCGAGATGCTGGTGTAATGGCTTTAATTTATGTTAAACAACCTTATATGGGACGGTAATCTCATTGACCGCGAGAAAACTATGCGAGTCGCGCTATAACCCGTATTCTTTGTCCAACGTTTTACCAATTTTTTTTTTTACCGACAAGAGAAATAACAGCCGTGCGGTACCGTTACATCTCCTCTAATGGTACTTTTAATTATAATCTATAATTGACTATTGTTTACAGCGAGGTCAAGTTAACCGCTTTAACGAGTACGAGTATGCTTGTAAGCCAGGTTACAAGGTTGTGCTTAATGGGTCAGTAGAAGGTTAACGTTTTTAACCCTTCTTCGGGTTATAGTAACAAAATGGTTAAACTAAACACGCGTAATGCGCGTTAATTACCCTATCGCGTTTTCGAATACTGCGAATGGGTGAATGAAACGATAAACCGCGCTTCAACGATACAACGGCCTCGGGACAGTACTTATGCAGATAAGGGTAATCGAGTAGCGTTTTCCTAACAACTGTATTCTTATATTCTTAACATTAAATGGATATTGAGTAAAAGTGGAATGAAAGTGCAGCGGATGTATCATAACTGTAACTTTCCATAATTAAATACTATGATTTAATTTTTCGGTCCAGATTGAAACGTTTACCATAAAGTTCGCGTGACACGAACAATATTAAAATAAATCCATCGTTTTTACGTATCGTAACTTTACCGTTATCGCACAGAGTACATCACCTAGAAACCTCCATTGCTACAGACATCGGTAGTTTGGGGACTATTTAAACTTGCCATTAACTCGTAGTCCAGCCTTTGTTTGCATAACATTTTGTCCTCCTTTCTGGGACACGCTGTACGCAGAGCTTCGAACGAACAGAAGCGTGGTTTTTATCATTTAATTAGGTCGAATAACGAACAAATAGCAAGTATTAATTATCTTACGAGTTACCGAAATTAATTACGTCCGTTCTAACAACTAGCGACTGTTCGAGCTATCCAAATGACCGTGCTGAATTTACAATGATTCTATTGAATCCACAAATATATGTATGTATACGTACATCGTAAGCTGGGATGCTCTCTTTGTCCCGAATGATGGGCGAGCTGTTCCTCGGCGCCATCAATGCCATTTTTCCGGCAAAATTTAATCACCGTATTTCACTGATTTTTCACTAGCGCGCTAACTATTGTTCACAGCGTTTCGTGTCGCCTTTCTCGGTCACCAGTTGAATACCCCTAATTTCCCGCATTTCTCGTCGTTTCCCTTCGGTGAACTTTGCTTTCCCTCTCAAATAACAATCGCAACATCGCGAGCAGATTTTATTCACGGTCACGAAATCCCACACGATGCAGTCTTCCTCCCTTTTTCTTCTCCTCGGCAGAACACCGACTACGTCACGAGCGAACTTTGATTTTTGTTTCATCGAAACTGTTCACTTGTTTCTTTCCTCGAAGCGTAGATGCTAAAGCACTTTTAAGTCTCACGGGGAGTCATTAAATTCTACGAGTTTTACAAACAGAAAAATCGTTGATTTCTATTTTATCGTGCAGTGCATCGATGTTTTTGTACCATTTCTAAATACCAAGTACGTTCATCACGCTCGATGCAAGCGTACCGTTAAATTGAAAGTCGAGTCAGCTCAGAATTAGCTAAAACCTTGTCGATATCCGTCTCGAGGAACGGTGTATCGATCTTTCGAACAGATATTAATTGTCATCCGAAGTACTCGTTTACTAGACTCGATACTTGCTTCGATTCGTCTCCCAACGATTCTTTCGGCTAAAAACCATCGATTTCGACTTTGCAGGATCACTTTATGATTCCACGCTTATCAGATGCTCTTTAACTTCAAAGACGATCCGACGCGTTTAATCGATTCTCTAAGCAGCCGCGAACAATGCTAATAGAATGTTTTATGGAAACAGTGCATCGACTTCGTGCAGTACATATTCGTTTCTAAGATAATTAACAGGGCTTATAGAATGCCTTTTTAAATGAATCCCTGTTAAAAGGCAATTAGAACAATTCACACGATATTCGAAGCGTTCATAAAAATCCAAGATACTTCTCTCTAATTAGAGACTGATCGATGTTCGTTTCGCGTAGCGGTGCAATGCCTTCGTCCAGATTTAGATTTATCGTTTCTCACTTATTTAAGGCATATTATCCGAGTGAATCGCTGCCAAAGTTCGATTTTGAACGATAACGACGTAACTACCTATAATGTAATATTCTCGCAGACAGATTTTTATCGATTATCGTCGCATGGAGCAGGACATCGACTTCGTCCAACGGATTATCGGTTTGTCGTTTATTCCTTAATTCGCACAAATGGCGCATCCAGGGTGAAATTTCCGCTATAAAGGTATCTTGTTCGCGTAACGCAACTAAACTTGCACTGTACAAGTCGATGGTTAACACGCTCGATCACGGGGTAACGGGTACAAATATCTCTCGATCGCTTAATATTACACGCTCGAGTCTCGAAGCGTAAATCGCTATTAAATTATTTTGCGGCGTTCACACCACATTTGTCGAGTAAATCGTCATTCGTTTAATCCGCGGCATTTCCTCGTCCATCGATGAACCATAGAAGTTTCGTCGATCCCTGTTTCGCCAGTGACTTCATCGAGTAAACGTGCATCCGTCGTTCCGAGCCGATATTAAGCGTTTGTGCGTTTAGCAGCCGCGAGTAATACAAGGTGTTCAAGTAGCACCGAGTGCATTACCGATCCGAGTTCAGTTCAAAGGATGATCCATGGTCGCGATAGTTCCAATCGGCGGCGTTCCGTCGCGTTCGCGTTCCGCTCGACGATGAATTTCGTTTACGTCGAGTCGATAACGTCGTCCCAAGACATCCGAGCACGTTCTTTCTCTCACCGTGTAGAAGAGCACGCGTCGCGATGCAGAGTCGAACGCTGCGGCCTGATTGCGCAACGGCTCGCTTCGAATCGCGGTAATTGCTCGCACGAGTCCTCTCGCGACCGCTAACGAGCCTTGGACGAGCAACGGAGATACAAAAAAAAAGGGGATGGAAGAGGAGAGGAGAGGAGAGGAGAGAGAAAAAGAGAGACAGAGAGAATCGAAGGAAGAGCAACGGAGGACGTCCGACTCTGAACTGAACCGTTCTCCAGTTTGACTCGTCTGTTCGACTATCACGCATCCCCACTCTTCGTGGCTGTAACCTACCTGCCACTTGCCAGGCCTCTTCGAACGATGCCCATTCGATTCTCTTTCTCTTCTTGGCTTATCACCTACCGCGCTATTTTTCTTCGTCTTTTTCATTCGCTACTTTTTTCACTAATTTCAACGTACGTGGGTCGCGACTAACACCCTACTGACACGAAAAGATCGTTCCTCGTTGCTTGGAAAATATCGTAGTCGTGTACGCGAGTTTCTGGGTTGTCGGTGATAAATCAGGAGAAAATGAAAAAATTCTTTTCGCGATTACTTTTACATCTATCGCGGAAGCGTGCACGTTTCAACGAGTTTATTACAGCGATTTGTTGACGCTTTCATTTTCCGGACACGAGCAATTCGTAAAGTAACAACTGATCGATTGATCTGTAATTTGTTTAAGTTCGAAATCGTATGCAACGAGTTTCGCGAAAGATTTGTTCGCGAAGGCGCTTTGACTTTTCACGATTAATCTCAATTAAACCACAAACACCATTCCCAATTTCATCCTATGAGATGTGACAAAGTGTAATAGCTGTCCGACATAGCGTTCGATGATTCAATTACCGAATTCTCGAAACTTTAAACGTTACTCACGCGGGGCTAGCGTTGGGATCCTGCCGCGACGTGGAATGAAAATTTTTCTTTCCATGGTTGACTCTGTTAAGTATTCAGCTGCAATCCATCGACATTCCATCTCGCAGTCGCCGCGAGCTGGCACCCACGTGCGCATTTTTATCTCGACCACTGTTCCGTGCTTCTCCGTGTCTTTCAAAACGATCGCCGATCACCAATACGATTTCCTTCCAAGATGGAACATTCTCGGCTGTGTTTGTTTATGCCAGAGCGATACGTGGGCACTCCACATGTCCTCGAGCGCTCAAGTCGGCGAATACGAAATTTCCACCCACATACGTGAAACGATTTTCATTTCTCATGGGTGACGGGCCTCGGCGTAATTCGTTAAATTGCAGCTAGTCATTTTCGACGATGACGATTTCGAAATTGTGCATCATCGACGAACTTAACGTTCAATGAAATACCAACGGTATTCGACATTTTATCGATGTAACTGGAATTTCACGAAGAATCACGGAGCTCGAGAAACAGCAAATTACTCGTTCGCGAAAGAATTCGAACAGACAGAATGGTTGCTGGAGGTTTCTTACGGCCCCGTCTGCTCCCATTCCTGCCTCAAAGGATTGTTTACTCGCTTCAGGGTGCGACAAAATTTCAAGCTGTCAACGCGTTATTAATGCATCAGCGTCGGTAGGAACAAACGCGCTTTGTTTTCTTCCGACGCAACGCGTTTGAAACGTTCCTCGCAACACGTCCGGTGAAATTCGCGAACAAGAGCAGAACAACTCGAATTGTAGGCTATCGAATCAAAGGAAGAAAGTAAAACTCCGAAAGCGAGATTGCGATGCCAGATTGAAACGGTCTACGCAACCGGTGAATCTCGACCGAACGAACGAAAACCGGAACGCCAAATATACATATAGACATTCTCCAAAAACTACCGATTCTCCGTGTCGAGAGACCGACGAGTTCTTTGCTCTTCCTTTTCGAGATAATAATGCTTCAAAATCAGAGATCAAGAGTATCGACGCTAGATCGTCGATCGCCCCGAGCGAACACGGTTCATCAAGCTCTTCGTCGCGGTGCTCCATATTTGTTCCAGTACACTCGGACATGCACAAGTTTTAATGGATTCAGAATAATTCCGGAGGAAATTCTAAGAGCTCTAATTCCCTAAAAAGCGAGGAAAGCCTGTGTGGAGTGTCCGTATCTACCTTCGTACACTTACTTATGCAAATGCAGATAATTAGCGCAATTATGATTAGCATGCGAAGTAATCGCCTCGCCTAAGTTTCAAGTATACGTTTTTTCAAACACCTTGTAGACCGCAGATACTCGAAAAATTTATACGCGTACGAAAGCGAAACCGTGATTTCGTGGATTTCTCGTTGGAACGTGGGTGGCTACCATCGAGAGAATGTACGTACTTGAGAAACGTCTGGCCTTAACGAACGAGATAGCCAAATTACGTTTTCGTCGTCTCGTCACAATTGATGTAATTCTTTCGGGTGACTAACAATGTCGTGCGATACTTTCGCTCTTGAATGCATAATTTACGACGTGTCTGGTTATAATGAAAGATGAGAGAAGTTACGGAAATACTCGAAGCAACGCGATGCGGTAACTTTTAAAGGACAAGTTATCCTTTCGACGAGGTGCAAAAATATAATCGATCGAGTGACGCGCGAAAATGAATGACGCGCGTACGAACGATTAACGATGAACAAACTACGTCAACTGTCTCCACGCTTCTCGCGTTAAGCGATATGCAATTGCCGACGACCACGTATCGGTATGCAAATTTTTACGATGTTGCTTTAAGAGGTTCACCGAAAACGTCGAGCAACCGAGAACGGTTCGATTGCATCACGAGGCTAAATATCGCAACGATGTTCTTTGCGCGAACACGCCCCTTGATTGCGAACGTCGTTGTTAATTACGAAAGTAGCCTAAATCGGAAATCCAACGGGAGATTAAATTTATCGTTGCTTTTAATACTACTTTCGAATCGTACAAACGTAAAAATATGTAATTAGAGTAATTTTCATTATCATAGAAAATATATAACGCGCACGGAAATGTATTTGCATCGAGTCACCGACAACAAAGTTTATCTGTCACGCTCGCAATTCTTACATTTTATAACGAATATTATAAAGTTTATATGTAGATAAAAATAAATTTGCACGGCCGGATACCGTAAGGATTGCGTACAGTAAATCCTGTGCAAGCGATAAAACGTGTAATATCTTGTTTCGTCTAGATCATGAAATATCTCGATTAATCCTGACGAAATCTGAATCGTGTCTCTATCGTGTATTTTGCCAACGTTGATTCGCGTCGGTAGTTCAATTTTAGCTACCTTATTATCGTATGTAATACTATTTATCGTAAAGAAGAAATTGATGAAAAATGGACTCATAATTTTGACCGGCAGCGTATTTATCAATGGACCCGAGAACGTATACAGATATACGCTTGCCGCAAGTATTAATGAACGAGTAAGATACCTAGTCACAAGTTCCCTTTTCGCAGTTATTAATGGACGCGCGAAAGAATGTACGCATAGAATGTTACGTAGGTATTACGCTTTTCGTAGTTATTAATGAACGCGTGAACGCGTATATACACGCTAGAGAGAGATATAGGGGATCCGAGAGTACTAGAGGAAAAATATAGACGCGTAAGTTGCATCGAACCGCTATTTCGGTAACGGCGAGCATGCGACACGCTGCCAGTATCCGTAATCGATCGGACAACGAACTTCCACAGCGTAGAAGCGAGAACGAACTCGAGCAAATTGACGGTGGAACTCGCACGACCAGAATGGAGCGAGCGAATAATTAATTCAAGCACTGATCTTCGCATCCGTCCCGTGAAAGCAACGTCTCTTCCGCTTCCGCGGTCGGAAATCGCTTCGATGGCTCGTTATCGGCCAAGACTCGAGCTTCTTTAATTACGTATTCTGTCCTTGTCGCGAAATTTCCACGAAATCTACCGTTTTATAGCACGAAAATGTTCCTCTTATTTACTCTCTATGTTCGACGCTTTATGTTAGAACTTACGCGTTAATTTTTAATTGTTCGAACGAGTTTACCCAACGCAAATTTACTTAACCTCCTCGTTGCGCTACGCTTTAGCCGAAAATTGTTCACCGCGAATGGGATGTTAACTCTCGACTATTACGATAATACAATAAAAACTTGTTCGTTTTCGAAGAAGGAAGCGATCGGAAACAAAATGAGATAGCGATTAATAATGTCTACTTTCCGGACATATTTTGAGCGGATAGAATTATTATCTAGATCGTAATAACCCGTTCGAAGCTAATTCTGGCAAGTTTCCAGTCATCGATATTGTTCGAGCTTACGTCTCGGCAGCGGAGAATAAAGTGCAGACAGGTCGCGTGATAAGAAGTAATTTTGTTAAAACCCACCGCAGACGAGTAGTAAAAGCCCGTGGTAGATAGGAACGGACGCGAAAGGGCTGATAGCAAGCATAGGTGTGTCCCTTATTAGCCATTAACCTGCGATGTAATAAACTCTAAAAGGTTTACCGAGCTATCTGACAGACATTAAGAAACACCTCGCCTCGTCTCGGATATGCATTTCTATTCACCCGAGTTTGCTTTATAAATTCACCTTTGTCTCCTCCCATTCAATGGAGCTAAATTATCGCGTTCGTCCAACACGCGTTATTCAGCGATAGAAAATTAATTAAATTTCTTTGCGATTAAATAATTTCCTGTCAAACTTCTAATCCGTCCAAGTATTTAAAAGAAGCGTGTACGTGGTATAGAAGTAAAAAAATGTTACGGAGATCGCGAGGTAAGATAGGTAAATTAATTCGTAAATAAGCCGGCACGGAGATCAAAAGATCGGTCGTTAGGAGCGTCGCGGAAGAATAACCGGTGTGCCGTACCGTTAGACAAAGCCGGAAGTTGTAACTGCCGATGGCCATCCGATTCTCTATGTTGCAAGCTTTCGAACAGCCATGTTCGATCTGTCGAAGCTTATCCTTCAGGAATACGTAGGAACATTATACGAAATTGAATCGTACAGTTCGCAAGCTTCTCCGGTATCGGAAATCTAAGCATTCGTTATACCTCGAATACGTTCAACGTGAAAATCATTTTCGACCCAACATGGAAATTATGCAACTTCCAGTGCGTTTTCGTTAATTTACAATCCGCGTTGTACATCGTAGGAAAGTATTCGTAACACTGTAATTATTAAACGTTTATATTATAGCGAGGAACGCGGTCAATTGCACAATATGATTTTCGAGAATGTTTAATTAGAACCGAACATAAATTTGAAAAGACAAGAAACTTTTTCGATCGGAAGACGAAGGAACACGTTGTCGGACGGGTGAATG